TTGCCTTGAAGCGCCGGTGTTTCTGCAGTCAAACCCTTGCATTGCCAGAGCAATGCTCTGCAGCCGCGATTGCTACAGTAGTGCAAGAATTGCTATCTCTCTTGCATTGGGTTCGGTGTCTTATTTCTCTCCAGGTCCAGGAGATCTACAATCTACAAAATTGCATAAGCTCCGAAGCGTTTGAATAATAATATTGTGATGATTATTGGACAACGGGGAAACGCTGCGCAGTTAATGACAAAATCATGGACAATAAACGGCAGAATCATGGTAATGGAAGCATTGAGAACACGCTGGACATGGAACCCAGCCAAATGGAACGAACGGGGGGCACGAGACAGAGCCATAAAGTCGAAGAGTGCCAGCTCCACAACAAAGGCAGCAGCTTCGTAGAGCGTGTGTTGCACCCGGGAGATTCTGCTCCATGGAGTTCTCGTTTGTTTTATGTCTCAAGTTCTTTGAGCTTTTCTCATATTGGTTCGATTTTAGCTTCATCGCCTGTCGAACCTGTAGAGTTGGATTTGATTAGTTGCCGTTGTTTTCTCATGTTCCTAGCTTCTGGTTTTCAATAGAGTTACCAGGCTGCGAGTCATCTTTAAGCATGAACGCCGACATTCTCTCCCTTGCCCCCTCAATCCCAGCTTAGAGTCAGAGTATGCAAGGCAGTTGTGCACTCCTCCCAGTGCCAGGCTCTGAAAGAGTTGAGAAGAATCCAGAAATCAGGCCAAGAACCCTACGGAGCCAAGGTCGAAGTCGGAGAGTTCATGGACCTTTTGGGTTTCCCAGCAGCGGCCCCTGAAGCGACGCAGGACTGGCGCACATTGGCACTGTCTCTCGCATGTTTTCAGAAGTTGAACGAAGGTCTGTTCAGGGGTTTGGGGGCAGGGTCGTGTTTGCGTTGAAGGTTATGTAGGATTCGAAGCAAGGATGGCCAAGTTGACTGGAAGCTTTAGCGCCAAGGCCGCAATCCTCAAACCCAAACCGCCCAGACCTTTGACCAGCTAAGGGGGCGGGGAAAAGCGCTTGACCGCTGCCGTCGCTGCCAAGGTCCATGTTAAAGCTGGAATTCGGCCCGGATGACATGTTGATCCTGCGACATCGTCCAGCACTCTTGCGTCGAGCCTTTCCGACACATCCGTGGCTGCGGAGAGTTCACGGTCTCTCGGGCTTGAAGATCAAATGTGCCAGTCCCCTCCCAATACCTAACACACAACCTCAGGTTGGATTGGACTGACTTTTAGGCAGGGTGTGAGGACGTCTCTTTTGTGCATGTGCTTGAGGCCGGGAGTTGCTGCAAATAGTGAGGTGGCTGAGAGAAGGAGAGGTGGCACAAACGGTCTTTTGGAGGATAGACTATTTTTTGCATTTTCTTTCTGACAGTATGCCGGGATAGCATCGAGCATCAAGGTTGTCGCTTTAAATCAGGACCACGGAATACTCGAGCAATACGCAGTGTTCGAAAAGGACGATGATCAGAAAATACGTACCGACGACGAGATATGTGGGTGACACGGCTTCGAATAAGAAGCTAAAGAACTATTTGCGGCCTTGCTCGTTGCCTGAGTATGCAAGCAGGCATTGGCTTCTGTAAGCGGAGAACCGAATCAAGTCTCGAAAAGTCACGAAGTCGAAAAGCTGCACCCTCCTCAAAAAAAGCCTTCCGCGCTCGTTTGCGCTTGTTGAACTTTTCGGTACCTGTCGGGTGCTTCTGCTTTTCGTTGTTTTGCATTTTCTGTGCTTTTTCTGACTATTATGTGCTTTTCGGGTCGTTCGTCTGTTTCAGACTTTTGGCGTTGTAGTGCGCTTTTCGACCTTGTCGGTACTTTTCGAGTACTAGTAGTTTCTGCTTGTCCTTGTTTTTGGGTTGTTTCCGCGCTTTTCGAACTTTTCCGGGCTTTGCGGATCTGTAGGCATCTCGACTTTTTCGAGTTGTTTTGGGCTTTTCAGTGTTTTTCTGTTTCTGTCTACTTGAAGTCATTGTTTCTGATCTTGTCCTATCTTTTCCTGTTGTGTTTACACATTTTTCATACAAAAGTTTCGACCTGGCCCACGACCGAGCTAGGGTAGGACCTAGGCTAGGTTTCAGGCCAGGCTCGGGGCAGGCTTGGCAGCCCCAGTGCTGGGCTTGGGCGGGGTAGGCCAGCAGGGTACTTGCCAAGAGCTAGGGCAGCTATGGCGGGATAGGGGTGAAGGCTCTGGCTTTCCGGCAGGAGTGCCAAGTGCTTGGGACTAGGCCAAAATCCGAAGTCCTGCGCGAAGAAGTGACCGTGCCCCCCAAGTAGACTTTCTTCCTTGTCCATCCGTTCTTACTGCCCGTTACCGGCGCTCAGTCGCCCTGTAGCTTTGTCCAGCCCGGTAGATATTCGGGCGCTGTACCCACATGCTACATCGGACGTTCTGAATTCAGCTCGCACTCTTTCAATGATTTGCACCTCCTCGATTGCGATTCGCCCACGTTAAACATCCCCCATCGTGCACATTCAGCGCTCACATTCTCTGTGTTGCCACTGCTAGCTGAACCCTGCTCATCTTCTGTCGCCGCTGGAGCCGTCTCTCCATCACCTCCTCTTCAAACCTGAGCCCAGCCTTCGATCTTCCATCAACTCATCGGCGCTTGTCCAGCCACCAAACGCAACGGTCCCTGGGTCTTCCGGCATGCCCTCGCATGAATCCTTCACAGGAGCGGTGTACGCCGCTAACCATCTTCGCTTCACCAGCAGCCAGCATGGCAAGCATGACTTATTCATCTCGAGTTATCCACTCTGGTAGGTCGATCCGATGTGTTCCTCCACCGGGGGGCACACACACACGCACACACCTCCGATGTGGCATTTTGCCGTAGTTATCTTATCTTGGTCGTACTTGCTTGACCTCCATCCACAGCTCTATGATGTTGAGCCGTTCTTCTTTGGCCGAATACATCCACGATATCTGTTCGTTTGTTTACATCTCCATCAGTCCGCGACCTTTTCTCCTGGTATCGTTCACTGCAGCTTGTGCCTGATCCATGGCTGATTCGGCTCCTGTCCCCTTTATTGATGCGTCCTCTGCATGCATTGTCATTCTCGGCGGCGAGCGCCCGAGATATCGTATCCCCCTTGTTCAATCTCCGTCATGTCGACATCCTCTTCAGACGGTATTGGCTCAGCTCCTTCCCGAAAGAGCTTCCGCCCGATGTTGCCTATCTCAGCCTATCTCCTCTTCTGCCCCGGCAGTCTGCCTATACTATAACTTCAACGGCTCGAGATTCACCATAGTCTCTTCAACCGTAGCCGCAATGTGAGCTTTTTTGGATCAGGCAGGCTGCATTGAGTACTTGGTATCCCTTGCTCCCAAACACAAGCTCGAAACCTCTCTACAGACGTCCCCGGCAGACAGGGCAAGAAGGAGGCTCGCAGGAAGGGAGAGGCAGGCGGGAGAGCGGTCAAGATAGCCAAAGCACAGGCAGGCTCTGCTTATCGTCCCTCGGCGCTGATCCTCTACCAGCTTTTCTTTGGTTTTGGTTGTGCCGGTGGTTTTTGTTTCTTGTTACTGGAGTGCCTGGAACACGTAGGCAAAGTGCGGTCACTGGGGTGCCTGGCCCAGCGGCTAGTAAAACTTGGAAGAGGAAGCTCTCGTTTCTCGGCGGCGGATCGGGGAGGAAGGGGTGGCTACAGAATCGTGATTGTGTTTGTTTGCGTCTGTTGCTTGTGTAGTCTGGCTAGAATGTGTGGTGCAACTAATGCAGACCGGTGCTAGCAAGGCCGTCCAGTTGGGCCTCGCGCGGTGCCTGCTACTACTTACGCTCGCAACAGCGACGACAACAACAACCACAAACATGTTCTTTAGCCGCGCATTTGTCGACTATACTATACTGTTTGGGGTCTTCCAACAAGCACTACAGTCGCCAACGAGTCTCTGGAACCGCCCAATTGCATGTTTCGGGACGTGTTTTTGTTTTGTTCAGCTTGGCTTTTTCAATTTAGTCAGAAGTCGCAGAAGCATGTTCTCGTCTATTGCTCGGTTTGTGGCGGCAGTTCTGGCTTCGCGACCCAGAGGTTACTGGGAGACGCGTCGAGCTACTGAGCGCAACGGTTGTGAGAAGAACGTGATAGAATGTGTCATTCTGCTGCGACTCTTACCCACACCTTGCAGGACGTGTCCATTGCAGGCAAGAATATTAGCACTTTCTGGAAGGCTTCACACCGTTATGACTGACTCATTCGGGAATCAAACTTTGGTCAGGGAAACACGGGCTTGAGCACTGTTCAACCGAATAGCAATGCGAGTAGTTCAGCAAAAATGGAGTTGAGCGAGTAGGAATGTTGCAAGACAAGCAAACTGGGGCCACTAAGCAGTGTTGACAGTTTCCGGACTCAGGTGCGTCAATCGTACTCCTCGCTTTGCTTTCCTCGGCAGTGCCAGCGCTTCTGGTGTTCTTTTGCATGCGAAGTGGCCCCGAGCTCCTAGCGGTGGAGGCACCCCATCTGCAGTCATCCGCCCACGGTCTGGGGTGTAGACCACAATGGGCCCGGAGAAATCTGACAAAGCACAACAACAGACACGCAGGGAAATTACATGAAATTTCCATTCACGCTAGGGACAGAACTGTGACCATCCATGTGATCGCGATATATGTTTCGAAGCACTCTCGCTAGAACCGCCTAGTGTAATTGTGCTGAAAGTCGGTCGGCAAACGAATGTTCGTCTTCATCAACTAGTGTAGGTGTAACTAAAGAAGTCCAAGGCTTGGCTTTCGGAAGTTCGCAACATTGGGCAATGTTGGAAGATGGACGGCAACATGCAGAGGTTACATAGTTTTTGATGGTATCCATGATTCCTCCATGATTTCCTTCCTGTCCCGACGCAGAGGTGCTTGATGGCAAAGCCAGGCTCCATCCGGACTTCGTGCCTGCTGTGCATGACTACCACATTCTTCTGTCTCAAGAGGATTGACCTGGGGTCTAGGGCCAGGGTGTTGCAATCTGGGTGTCTGACCCTGAGAAGGTAAGGTTGGCAGCATGTCACATTCTGCTCAAGAGCTAGCGGCACCCCTCAGCCTGAATCGGCAGCAGTCCCAGCCGAATCTCCGCTCCCACGAATCGGTGCGGTGGGTATCACCGTACATCGCAATATGGTCAAACCTCGCTGTGTTAGTGTTCCTCTGTATGACAACCAGGAGGTTTGAAGAAGTCGGCACAATTACCTACGGAAAGCAGCAGGACCTGGGCGAAGACGGCTGGCACGATGACAAGACTAAGAACATTCGCCTCACCTTCGATGTCGGCCGTGGCGAAGTTGCAAGGGCCTGGTTTTGCTGCGGTGGCGGGAAGTGCCAAGAGGTGGGAAGCCGATCTTCGAAACTTTAGACCCCACATGACCTGGGAGCAACATTGCATTTGGAGACCCGGAACCTTGAGCTTTTCGGCCACCTTCCGAAGGCTGAAATGCGACCAGAGGAGCACTCGAAGCAACTCACTTGGACCCATGGGATTCCGGAGACAAGGGATGGGCGGTCTGCTTTGTGGCTTGCACATTGGCTAGAGTGGAGAACATTGCTTTAACCGCCATGAAGTTTCTTGCTTGGGTGACCCAGCTTGCCAGATGATTTGTCAGCAGAAGTAGCGAGCACCGGGGACATCTCAAATGCAGTCAGTGGTTCTGGTTCTGCCAGGAGACCCAGTTCGGTAGCATGTGCCAGCTTAGCCTCTTCGGCCTTCAGACAGGACCTGTGGTTTACATGGCCACATAGTTGAAATCTGAACGGAGGGATCTAAGCTCCAGAAACAGTTGTTCTATGAGTCTGTGTTTACGGTTTTACACATGGCCGGCCATGTGGCAGGGTTTACAGAGTCCGCGAAGCATCCGCTAAAGCAGATGCGAAAGGAAAGGGCTTTGGCGCGAAAGTTGCACCAACACGTGATAGCCGATAACAGAGCCCAAACCAGCACGCGAACTCAGTAAGAATGTTGAACCCTGTGAACACCATGTGAGCCGTGAACCTTACAACCTGCGCAGAGTGAGTTCCTGGACCTTGCATCGTTTGAGGCCCAACCAGTACAGATGGGAACTCCGGGCCCGGAGTTGTAAATTCTGGACGGCGAACCCTTCACTTGAGCGGGGTTGTCGTCAGTGGCCGTGGCTTGTAAGTTTGGGCTCTAGACCGGGATTTTTGGAAGATTGCAGGGGATTGCGCGAAAGACCCCACAAATGCTCAAGTGTGTGTTGAAGCCAGTAGTAGGCCGCTGCAGATTTCAGACAACAGCATTGCATGAGCTCTGTCACAGGGAGTTCGGACTTAAAGACGGAAACACAGAAACTCATGACGTACCATGAGGAGATCATGGCTAGACAACAGCATTGCATTAGCTCTGTCACAGGGAGTTCGGACTTAAAGACGGAAACACAGAAACTCATGACGTACCATGGGGAGATCATGGCTATGGAAATATAGTTGTTTTTGTCCAGGCTGGTTGGTGCGGGGTGCTCCTGCACGTGAAGCGCAAGACCATGAATGAATGAATGAATGAATGAATGAATGAATGAAATGAATGAAATGAATGAAATGAACGAAATGAATGAAATGAATGAAAGAATGAATGAATGAATGAGTGAATGAAATGAATGAAATGAATGAAATGAATGAAATGAATGAATGAATGAATGAATGAAATGAATGAATGAATGAAATGCATGAAATGAATGAAATGACTGAAATGAATGAAATGAATGGAATGAATGAATGAATGAACGAACGAATGAATGAATGAATGAATGAAATGAATGAATGAATGGAATGAATGGAAAGAATGAAATGAAGGAAATGAATGGAATGAATGAATGAATGAATGAATGAATGAAATGAATGAAATGAAATGAATGAAATGAATGAAATGAAATGAATGAAATGAATGAAATGAATGAAATGAATGAAAGAATGAAAGAACGAATGAATGAATGAATGAATGAATGAATGAATGAAATAATGAATGAATGAATGAATGAAATGAATGAAATGAATGTAATGAATGAAATGAATGAAGGAAATGAATGAAATGAATGAATGAATGAATGAATGAATGAATGAATGAATGAAACAATGAAATAATGAAATAATGAATGAATGAAAGAATGAATGAATGAATGAAACAATGAAATAATGAAATAATGAATGAATGAAAGAATGAATGAATGAATGAAATGAATGAATGAATGAATGGAATGAAGGAATGAAGGAATGAATGAATGAATGAATGAATGAAATGAATGAAATGAATGAAATGAATGAAATGAATGAAATGAATGAAATGAATGAAAGGAATGAAAGGAATGAAAGGAATGAAATGAATGAAATGAATGAAATGAATGAAATGAATGAAATGAATGAACTGAATGAAATGAATGGAATGAATGGAATGAATGAAATGAATGAAATGAATGAATGAATGAATGAACGAACGAACGAACGAAGGAAGGAAGCAAGGAAGGAAGGAAGGAAGGAATTAATGAATGAAATGAATGAATGAATTAAATAATGAATGAATGAATGAATGAATGAATGAATGAATTAATGAGTGAGTGAGTGAGTGAGTGAGTGAATGAATGAATGAATGAATGAAATAATGAAATGAATGAATGAAATGAATGAAATGAATGAAAGAATGAAAGAACGAATGAATGAATGAAATAATGAATGAATGAATGAATGAATGAAGGAAGGAATGCCTGAGTGCATGAATGAACGAATGAATGAATGAAGGAATGCATGAATGCATGAATGCATGAATGCATGAAGGAATGAAGGAGTGTATGAATGAATGAACGCATGAATGCATGCCTGAATGAAAGAATGATTGAGTGATTGAATGAATGATTGAACGGTTCAATGTTTGAATGTTTGAATGATTGAAGGTCTGAATGATTGAATGGGTGATTTTGTTGATTGAGTGATTGGATGATTGAGTGAACGAATGAAGGAACGCAGGAATGAATGAACGAAGGAATCAAGGCATCAGAGCTTGAAGGAATGAATAAATGAATGGTTGAACGGTTAAATGGTTAAATCTTTGAATGTTTGAATGACCGAAGGCCTGAATGATTGATTGAATGATTGGTTGATTGGTTGATTGGTTGATTGGTTGATTGGTTGATTGGTTGATTGATTGATTGATTGATTGGTTGATTGATTGAACGATTGGTTGAATGAACGAATGAATTAATGAAGGAATGAGTGAATGAACGAATGGGATGAATTACATGCATGAACGAGTGAATGAATGAAGGAATGAATGCATGAAAGCACGTCTGGATGGATGGATTGATGGATGGATGGATGGATGGATGGATGGATGGAGGTGTATGTGTGTTTTTGTAGAGTTATATATTGATACTGTTGTTCGATTATCTGCAGCTCCGCGAAAGTTCCGCTAAAGTCGGCGCGAAGGGAAAGCACTTTTGCGCGAAAGTTCGCAGATCCCGGTAAGGGGGATTTTTTAACAACCCTCGAACTGTGAATGGCAATTTCTGTCTTTGTCTCGCATGTGGACACCAGCCAGGACGATACAATTTCAAAGTGCTGGCAGTCAAATCCTTGCCTGAACCTGTTGTGGATGGCAGCGCTTTGCTCGACGGCATGGAGCCTGCCACATGGCAGTGGTCTCAACGTGAGTATGTGCAAATGGTGGTGGTGCAGGATGTGCCAGGGGCGACCGTGTCACTAATGTTGAAAGCACGTGTCCACCCCACGCTTCACTGCGAGGGTCGGCGAGGCTCCGCAGGCGAATTTTCCACGGCTAACATCACCGCTGTGGAAGATGGATGGAAAGGAGTGCTGCAAACCGTCAGCATCAACCGAAACAGCAGCAGAGCCTCATGGAGTACCCAGCTCGTACTGAGGAGTGCCGCAGGCAAGGAAACGGCAATGGTCACATACAGCTTCCAGCTGACCGTGCTGTCGGTCAGTGAGTACATCAAGGAGCTGATAGAGCAGGTCGCTAGCCTGCAGCGACAGATGGCCCTTCCAGGGTCTATTGAGGGTGGTAGCCAAGACCAGCTGGGTGATGAACTCGACAAATGGACGTTGAGACGGAACTTTTTCCTGGAGCAAGCCTGGAGCCTGCAACAGAGTGAGTCGCCTCGCCGTGACACCTCGCCTGGCAACTTGACTTTTGTTACCCTCGGCCTTACAGGCACTGGAAAATCAGAGCTTTGTCGCTGGATGACCAGGAATGAAGAGCAGCTTGAGATGTGAACGCCAGCAGTTTGATTTTGAGTCATTTGTTTAGTACAAACAGGGCCATCTTTGCCGCTCCAGCTGCTTGCCTCTCTGCTAAAAGCGCGACTGTAAGAGCATGTGGGTTGATATCTTTTGGTCTGATGCCTAGTGCCGCAGGGACGAGCGACTATTGATAATGGCTGGGGCTAATACATTTCTGATCTCAAATGCTGGAGCTGCAGGCAATGCAAGACAGGCTCGGAGATGGAATCGCACACGGCAGATGTCATCACCGTTCTGGGACATGCCTTCGGAGATGACACCCAGCCGTTCATCGTGCCTTCGGCTCGTAACTCTAACCTGCTAACACCTTTTCGGTATGGTTGCCGTTTTGGCAACTGTGGCTATCAGAATTTGAAAGTGCACCTTCCTTCACGCCCTGTACATGGGATAGCCCATTCGTGGAAGGAAGCGGACGTGATCAAGCCTTGAACGGTGCATCGTTGTGCAAGGTTTGTTACAAGTAGTCTTGTCACTATCAGCATGTTCGGTGTCACGATGTGCGTCGCAGGGACCGAAGGTAGTTAGTCCGCATGTTGCGGCTTCGGTATGCTTGGTCGGCCAATCGTTTCATAGCGGCAGCATACCTTTCTTTGGTCATTTGCAAGTGCAATCCATTTCTTGACGATCGGGGGAAGGCACTATCTCGACATGTCATCCTTGGGGCTCAAATGATGTCACGGCTCTTAGCGTTGGCTAGCGGCATGTCCCTGCAGCTGCAGCTGCATTTTGTGAATATCGCAGCTTCGGATCAACAACAACACAGGCTCGCTAGCTCTCCCACATGTCTAAGGAGTGGATCGACACCCCTGGGCGTGGAGATACAAATGGCCCAGCACGCGACGATGAGCCCGCCGGCCTCCCCATAGAAAGCTTTCCTGTTGGCCTCTTTCCGAAACCCTTTTAAGACAGATACCCGTCATTCCCCGGCACTTGACCCTACACAGAAATCGATCTTTGTGATGTTTGTCGGCTTAGGCTTTGGAGGCAGACTAAGAACAGCCTTCTGGACATATGCCAGGACGGGAGACCCATCCACCGAGTCTTGCTTGCATCGAAGGCTTGGGGCGTGCGTCCCACCCTTGCAGCTTTGGCCATCCTGGGGTTATGGTGTTCACCGTCGCTAAAGTTGCTGACAGCTTTCCTCGAGTTGCAGCAATAGGCTCTGCAAGGAATCGCGTGGGTGGTCAATGCTCGCTGGCAACGAGGTTGGGGGCATGTTCACGGATCAACCCGCCCGCCCTAGCTGTTGCGGCCAAAAATCTTGGCTACCACACCCACACCCACACCGCACCAGCAGCAACAAAAAACATTCCCCCTGCACCAACCAAAAGCACACCCGCACCCACAGCAAAAACACATCCCCCGGGCACGAACAGCAGCACGCACGCACACACACACACACACACACAGACATACATACATACATACACATACACCCATACACACACACACACACACACCAACCCGGCACCTCCCAGCACGAACAGCGAAAACAGAACACGCCCCCTACACCAACAGCAAAACCCCCCCTCCGCCACAGTAGCAACACAAAAAAAATCCTTCCTGCACCAACTGCAAGCAAAAAACACCCCCCGGTAGCGATAGTGTTTGTTTGTGGTGTTGTCCTTCACACCAACAGCAAACAGCAGCAACAGCAAAAAGAACACCCCCTGCACCAACAGCAGCAAAAGGCCAACAGCAAAAACAAAACACTCTTACCGACTCTTACCTACGTTCATTGTATGGAATCGAAGCCTTTGTTCCCCGGGGTATATATAGATCCTTCAAGGGCATACAGAAGCATAAGATTCATCGGACAGTATAAAGCACAAGAAAAGACAAATACAGCAAGTAACGACAAATAAAGACAAACAAAGACGAACAACACAACTAAAACATATAAGAAACAAATATAAGCACATAAAGACAAATAGAGACTGTGAAGAACCTGCCAGGCCTTCTGTACAGAGTGCAACCCTGGAGTTGCATGAACGATCTGTCTGTGTGCTTAGGCCTTTCTGGTTGCAGGAACGGATCAAGAGCCGAAGCGCCGCGCCTGGCAATGTGTGGAAAATTCGATTGTGAGCTGACTTCGGGAGCTGTGGACAATTGCCAACTCTTGACGTTGGTAGAGGAGTGCTGCGCGGAGGCAGTGTTCCGAGGTTCGCTACGACTGGTTGGTAGTGGAAGAGGAAAGGTAAAGTCGGGAGCCCCGACGGGTTCCGAAGCTCAGCGCGCTGGAACCGGTGCTGCCACAGGAAGAGCAGCTCAATATGTTCCTGTCTTTGACAACACACAAGGAGTTTCGCAAGAGGTGGGGGCTGCACCGTGTGAAGATGGAATTGGCTGGACGGAGGCAAGAGACGATCTTCAACATCGTCACCCTCCTCACCGGAAAGGCCTGGGACATGATCGACGACCCTAGCGCCAAGACCATGCATGGTGATGGTGGCTACAACGCTGTGTTTGAGCGGTTGGGCCGTGGGTTCGAGTACGACGGAGCTGCCGGAGGACTTTGAGACCTGCTTCGTGAAGCTCAGCCGGAAGCCCAACGAGACGTTGCAAGAGTATGCGGCCGAGCTTTCGAGGTTCAGAGGGGCAGCTGCGAGTGACCCACTCGGTCACACCGCTCGCGAAAGTCCCCTCTCCTGGTGGTACCTGAGTTGATGTGGACAACGGCAATTTGTGCTCACCAACGTTGGCGCCGACAACCCCACCCTGGACAACGTGTTTTGAGGACGAGTACGACCCGCATCAACAAGTTGAAGATTTACGAACAACCTCCATGTAAAGTAATGTTGCCTGACTGTCCGTACTGCGTTCGGGGTCGGGGCTCCCGTGTTGGTTGCCCTTCCGTTCCTCCTTGTTCCTTACCCTAACATAGCTGTGTCTCTGTTTGGGGTCGGAATAACTGGTTATCAGCCGTAGTGCTCTTTTCTTCCGGTTCTTGGTGTTGATCTTCAGGGTCTAGCTTTGTTCATGGACGCACCAAGTCCGGAGCGCGGTCCGGAGGTGCTACCTCGACCGCGAGGTATCAGGGCTGGCAAGAGTGCGGTCAGAAAGCGCAAAGATTATCAAGCCTATCAATTGTCGCTACAGCCTTATAGGTACTCGTCTCTGGACGAGGTCCCAATTCGGCATCAGGACGAAGGCCAACGTCCTTTGTACACGAGGGCCAACTGGAAGCCTGTGTTCGAGTCAGATTCGGAGAAGGAAGAGTTCGTGGAGGTGGCCGTCGAGATCGAGGAGGAACCTCTTATCCCCAGGTCGTCAGGAGCTTTTTCGTGGTGCCACGGGCTTCAACGAGTGCCACCGACTCCACCGGCCCCGCCAGTGCGACCTTCTTCATCGGCTTCTTCATCTACGACTCCCACTCCTTTGACTTCATCACCTTCTGTTGTGCCAAAAGCGGCAAAGTCTTCATCTGTGGCAGCCCCCGTAGCTGGTCAGAGGTTGGCTCCTACTCCGAAGGTGAAAATCACGCCAGCTGCGCCTAAGGTCGCTGCCGTGCCCAAGGTATCTGCTCCTAAAACACCTCCGACATCGCCGGCTTCGACATTAGATCCCGTTGCAGCTCCGAAAGTTGCTGCTCCTAAAACACCTCCGAAGTCGCCGGCTTTGACATCAGACCCTGTTGTGGACCTTCCCAGAGGTGTACTTCTGTATTCACCTGACACTTTCAACAGGTGTAATTTCAGGTTCGAAGGTAGTCAGCGGCTAGAGGGCAAGGTGGTCGTGTTCGACTTCCAGAACGTCATCGACAGGTACTATTGGGCACCGCGTATTGGCTAGCGTAAGCAGCAGTATAAGATTCCCTATCCGAACGAGGCACCGGAGCTGCTATCGGATATTCAGGGACTTCTCAGGCGTGTTTACCGGGCTGCGGAGGAGGTTGGAGCATTGGTTGTGATTTGCTCTCATATCCCAGAAAGCTCCCGGAGTATCGAAGATTGGGCTTTCGATACGCTGCGCAACACATTCATTCAGGCTGTGAGGCAGCGTCAGGCGGACCTGGTTGTTATCACGAGGTCGAGGACCGGTCGTTTGGGCAAATTGGACATTTGCAGGCGTTTGTTTCAGCAGCCCGCCCTCCGTATCATCGACGACAACGTCTCTATTTGCACAGAGTGGATTTGTGCCAACAATTCGACGGCCTTCCACATACAGCTTCCGAGACGTGAGATTCCTGCGATTGGAAGATCTCTCACGTCAGTCTTTGAAGCTGAGCCGGCCATCCTGCCACCCTTTGAGGATCCGGCCCCCGTTTATTTTTCCGATACGTTTCATTCCGAGCGTCGCGATACCTGCCGCAGTTCCGTCAACTTTTGGTTGGGTTTTTAAATGCGACAAGTGCGGCCTCGGTGGTGTTCATGGCCCTGTTTGTTGCGAATATGCTATCGTCCTGTCGCAGGTCTTGAAAGAAAGTAGAAAAAATCCCCACGAGCGCCAATGCCACCCCAAACTATGTATGGGCAGCGAGTTCTGGAGCTGTTAGGCTTATCGACTGGCGAGTTGATTTTTTGAAGAAATTGGCTTGCAGCACGCTGGTTACGAAGGGCATTGGCAGCCCACTTGGGCTGTCTTGCTTGTGAAGCGAACTCCCGTTCGTAGGACATCCACCAAGTGGCTTCAGATACTGTAGCTATATCGCGACACGCAACTTCCGAAAACTGCATGTGTGCTTCAGCGGTGTTCAGAAAATATCCAGCTATAGAAAGCCACCCGAAGCTAAAGCTGATTGGAAAGTCATCACGAGTATGTGGATACCCACGCAACACCGTTCCTCATGCCGGCTGCGTTGTCAGCTTTTAGCCGAAGTTCGTGAGTGCAAGCCCGCTAAAGCATCTGGCTGCTTATGTTGCAGGCACTACCGAGCGAGAGAATATTTTCCGCCAACTTCGCAATACCTTCGGGTTCCACCTGTACAAACACCTCGTCATTGTGCCTGGTCTGAGCACGTGGTGTCATGGGCTTAAACAGTTTGGACAGGAGTGTCTTGCATGCATCTCCCGTGCGACAAAGCTGTCAGCTGGCAAAACCTATTGCATGTCTTCGCAGTTTTGAGATGTGTTGACAGACACCCCTTCCAGGGCTTAGGTCCATGATTATCGTGCGACAGCTGCGCAAGGTCTTCAACCACATGGCACGCCCTATGAGCTATGAGTCGCACATGGAGGAGTTGGAAAAGCAGCGAAATCTTTTCATCCAGTGGATGATGAAGTGTGAGGAAGAGGAGCTTGCCCTAGACTCGTTTAAATGCGGGGCTTTACAATGAGGTCTGAGCATCCATAGCGGTAGACTAGAGATGGGACAGAGGTGCGGCATTCTGACTGCCAGTGATTCGAAAGGGTCAACCGTGCAGCATCGGAGGTTTTCGTTCAACTCATTGCCAGCTTTCGCGGGTTTCATCTACAACATCATGTCAAGAGTTGGTGCATGCACAGGGTTGGTGCGAGACGCGAGATGCACCGTTTCCAATTACCGCCAGGCCATGTTACGTTGCTAGTCTGTCTGCATGCGCATGACTTAAAACCTGGATGCAAAGATACGGGACCTATATAATCCGATGCAGTAGAACCAAAGGTCAAACTCCAGTGCATTCAAACCCTCACGTCCTTCAGAGGTGCTGAATAATTAAACTCATTGTGAAGCCCTAAACAACCAGCCTTCAACCCTCAAGAGTCTGGTCAGGAGTTCAAGTGGGATGCAGAAGCCAGCGCCAGCATCCGAAAGGAGGTTGAGGCATTGAAGGTGTACGGGTTCGACATCAATCCGAGGCCGGAGGGGCTGGGAGGGGCTAGGTGCCAGACGGGTGAAACGTAAAGGTATCAAAGCAGGTATAGCTTGTCCTACCCTCAAGAGCCCAAGCTCGAGTGAGGATGCTTCCACTCACAGAGGCACGCTGACCGCTGACCAATCAATCTTCCATGATTATGTTCGCAGGCCAAATGTATAGACAAATGTGTTGTGGTCATTCACTCGCAGAGAAGTTGTTGTAGGAGCATGCTGTCAGCAGTTCATCGAAGTAGTGTACGTGTCCTTTGTTTGATGCTTCAGAAACTTTTCCTGTTACTGTTGTTACCACAGCAAATGGAAAAGCCAACCAACCCAGGCTCTAGTCGTGAGGATTGGGCAAGCTGAATGACCATCGTAACCACGGCCCGACAAGCGCGTAATGCAAAGATTCGGATGCGAGGTTTCAAACGAAAGAATCACAAGCCTTCAGCTGTCTTGTTGAAGTCTAGACTCAGACAGTGTCCAGATTCCGAAGCATCAAGAGACGGTAATCATGGGTTGGTGCCCTCAAAGCAATCGCATCATAAAACTCGGCAGAAGAACTACCGGACTTCAGAACAATAACACAATGGGAACACCGAATGTTTGAGCACTTGAATGTCTCTTGCACCATTCACTGTTCATGGCTGACAGGCTTGTTCATCGGTCTTCGTCAAGCTTCAAACAACCCCAAGCCAAACCGCACACCCAACAGCCGAAAGTCCTACATCCGACACACTAGACTCGTCACCAGACCTTGGACCGTCCAACCTAAACCACAGGTGTCCGTCAAGTGCGCAAAGTTGAAACACCTAACGCTCACTTGGCCTCATCTCTAACCCTGCCCTGCGGGGGCGACGTCCTGGCTGCGATGCACGGTGGGAACGTTCCAGCTACTGCAATCCGGCACGTGTCGGCGGCACCATATTTGCCGAGACCCCTTTGCTTTCTCACAATGTGGTGCTGTCAAACCGCTGCTGTGGCAGCCCACAGGTCGGTCCTGTAGATCGTCGTCCATGTTTGCAACTGGGGTCCGAAATGCCACCATTGCCGACAGGCCCAGCTCTTGACCCTCAATTCAGTGAAACCGTTGATACGAGCATCCCTTTCCATTGAGGGCACACGAAATAGTGGTACTCCTTCACACCCAGCAAGAACAGAGCAACACTACAGCCCTATGTTGTGTGTAGTCCCGTCCATAGATGTCACTGTAAAGAAGAGTACTGACGTCGACCCCATAGGCTGACAATGATGATGGTGACGATGTTGATGATGATGGCGGCTCATACTGGTTCTGGTGATGGTGGCGGTGATGCTGTTGAGCCAGGTGCACCAAGGTACTTTGACAAAGCATATTGCTGAAGGCAAGCTAATGACTGAAACCCGTTAGACAGCTAAACTGCCAGAACAAAGTTTTTTGACATGTGAAGAGTGTAGCATGAGTCACTGCGACGTCATCCTTACAAAGCCGCCGCAGAAGAGCTTGGATTTAATGCTGCAATTGAAGCTGACCTTGTGAAACTAGAACACGTGTCGTACGTAGTCTATCGACTCCTCGGTGCCCGTCTCTCTTCTAAATTGCGTTCCGTCGTGGTCCAAAGATTGTTGTCCTGAGCGTGCTGAAAGGCTTCATGCTTGAAATGCATTTCATTCCTATGCTTCTCGCCGAACCACTGGAATCCCAATACAATCAGTCACACGATGGCCGCAGCGCACCCTTACGCACATCGCGCAGGCTCCTGGAGGCGGCTGGCCTGCCGGAAGGCCTTCCTTTGTCCGCACCGTGCCTTGTCGTTTCGCACTCCGCAGCAGAAGGAACGATGCCGCAACTGTTCATTTCGACAGGTTGTAGGGAGAAGGGTGTGCATTGAACAGGTTGGTTGAGTTGCCGTGGAAAGGGGTTGTAGTTGACTTGGTAACTAACGACTAATGGTGCCTAATGACTGGTAAGAGATTTTTCCGAACTAACCTTTCGAAGCTTCAACCAGAGGATGAGCTTGAATGAGGATGTGCAAGTGTTCTGGATCGAGGAATCCGGGTATGACCACCACCGAAACCGAATGCCGGACCCTGAACCAACAGGACTTGACGCCGGAGGAGCTCGGGGTTTGAAGCTTGCAGGGCTTCCACAAGCACTGCCTCCGAATGAACCCCCGAGGTACGTGGACCTCATTCCGCCACTGTCCTACCCGGTGGGCGTCGATGACCTAAAACAGCTGGTGAAGGACTTGAACGTTGTGTTGGGGTGAATAGGTGGATTACGAGTTTTAAGAAACAGGGACGACAGCGCTTCTTTTGATCATTATGGGATTTCGCTTGTCGAGGTTGGGCTTCACGGGTCCACGCTGCGCCCTTCTAAGCCCTTCGCAACCGGTACTACAACACAGACTGCCGGAAGGTCTTGACACGGATCCGTTGAACGGTTTTGGCCGGGTTTTTGTTCAGATGGTTCTGGAATGCTCTGGTTTGTGCAATGCTTGAAAAAGACACACGGCAACATTGCGACACACATCCGCGCAACGGTGAAGCAACGAATTCTACGGAGGGCATTTTGTTCGGTCCTTTGTTCCCCACCCTCGGTGTGGGGTTGTTAGATTTTAACGTCAGCTGTTACTCCTCGCTCGCTGCCACAGACCACCGTGAGACTACCTGGAGTGCCCAACCCCACAGACTACCTGGAGTGCCCAACCCCACAGACTACCTAGAGTGCCCAACCCCACAGACTACCGTGAGACTACCTGGATTGCCCAACCCCACAAGACCACCGTGAGACTATACCTGGAGTGCCCAACCCCACAGACTACCTGGAGTGCCCAACCCCGCAGATTACCGTGAGACTACCTGGAGTGCCCAACCCCACAGATAATACTTTTGTAGTTTTCAAAAAACATGTATGCATTAGGGCCAAAAGGCTCGCGGGGGACAAACTAGTTGAGCTAAGAAGCCGAAACGCGTTTGCGGCGGCTACAAAAGGGATGCTTTTGCTTTTGGTTCAGAACTGCACAAAGCTCAATCTGTGCAACGAAGCTGCCCTCCCCTGTATTTTGTTGCCGTTGGCCTATACAATAGTTTGTGTAGGCGTCGCAAATGCATTATCTGTAGGGTGTGGATGTTCGAAGTAAAATAATTTAGATCACTGTTTTTCTGGCATCCCGGCCGCCAGAATGAAGTAAGGAGAGAAGGAAATGAACAGGAACATACCACACACACATATTTGTATATATACATATGTATATATATATACATATGTATATATGTATATATATATATATATATAT